TCTGCGTTTCTTGGTGGTTTGTTTTGAACTGACTGGCCTGCACCGACACCGTCAGCACCAGTCCTGAGGATCTTCTGTTGTGTTTAAATTTATATAATATATCTACTGTAGACCAGTGACTCTGTTCTGAATGGCGTTAAGACTCTGATTGTTTGTCAAAGTAGGAGAACTATGAGCCCTTGCTTCAAGCTTTTGGGTATGTTCAGTCCAAACATCATCCCCATCCCTATGATTCCCCCCCAGAACAACCAGCGCTTTTTTCTCGTATCCGCCCTGTATGATTGCAACCATTTTAGCCATTGAGGGTTCACGTTGGCTCAGGGCAGTCGTTTCTCCAGCTTTTTGAAAGTGGCCTCGAAATCTCCGGTGGTCCGGAGGCCCTGCTTATTGGGAGGAGGTGGCCAGCAGAACATGCTTATTGGGGGGGCGTGACCCATTTTCTTGGATGCAAGAAGGTGTGCAGGTAGTGCAACAGACAATTCCCACTGTCATACATTGTCATTATTGTTATTAAAATGCTCTTGACATGGATCGACCGCAAGGGGTTGGATTCGGCGGCAGAGAAGCGGAGAGTTTCGCTCTGGACTCGATCCCAAGTCCAGGAAATGTTGCACAAAAAGTCTGCACAGGAAATCTCTCTTGAAAGAATTGTGGACGGAATAATACTGTATATATACACATTATTTTTACTTATTGTTATTACTATTTTTTTTAAAAAATATAGAGAACTCTTTTGAGAACTCGCACAGGGACTCCTAGTAAAGCCCTTGAGGGACTCTTCTCAAATATCGGGGCTTACAAATATGTTTGCTGAGCACGCTTGACCGAACTAGTCATAGGCCTTTCGAGCACTCTTGACCGAAGCCTTTCCTGCCAGATTCTTGTGAGAACCTTGGAACGTTTGTTGTAAACATTGAATTCGCTTGAACCACTCTTGTTAGATTTCCTCCTGAAGGCCTTTTTGTGAGGTTCCGAGATCAACCAGGTAATTGCCAAAAGACGTTGCAGAAAATCCAAACATATTTCTTGCACATCTTTCTTGAAAGCACCTTCTGCCGAAGTCTTCTCAAGAGACCGCATGAAGAGTTCCTGCAGGGGTTCCAAAGATGAGCTTACTCAGGCCTTGATCAAGGATATATTAACAATCCAAGAGACTTTCAAGGTCCTGAGCAGATCTTTGACGTTGGTACAGAACGTCGAAGCAACGATCAGAAGGTGATTCTACACACAACTTATGAGAGAGTGGCCACCTCGATGAGATTTGCCTCGAGTTTTGGGCCGGCCGCAGAGGTATTTTTGGATACTGTACTCCTTGTTACATATTGTTTTGGCTGCCTCTTTTCTTTTAAAAATATTCACGATTCGCAGCCTTTCCCAAAAGACTTGACCTTGGAGGTCACTCTCTTTGTTGCCTCGGGGCCACTACCCAAGGTAGTGATGAACCTCTTTGCCTCGGGGCTGTGGTTCTACGCTTACAACGAGTGGCCTTGGCTGTGGAGGGCAATGGAGGTTTCAACCTGTGGCTCTCCCCAACAGCCAGTCGATGGAAGTTCTCATGAGACCCTCCTCCGCAGCACTGCAATAGGGGCCGCTGGAGTGGAAAAGCGACCAATCCTTATAGTGTTGGTTTAAATCCCTGATACGCAACAAATCTTTTTGGAACACACCTCGGTTCTGGTTGGGCAGAAGTCACATGTTGTCACATGTTGTCACAGTCATCCATGGCTATGGCTGGAGACTCCTGGATGCCCCCCCACCCACGAAGGGATCCTTTGGCACCCTCACCCTCAACAGGAGGCGAGACACCGAGGACAACCAAATGGAAGCTGCCAGCAGAAACCGATCAGATTGGCCCTGGGCTTCAGCGGCGATCCTCCGGCGCCCGCCGTGACCAGGTTGGCCACCTTCACCATCAAGAAGACCAACGCCGTGACCTCCTCCGTAGCTAACACTGCCAGGGGCACCCAGTTCCCCTGTGTGGGGCTGTGTGTCATTTTGGACCCACAGAGGTTTTGCTTTCTAGGAGTGGGTGGCGGGTGTGGGAAGTTGGGAGGGAGTTGCACACACACACAGAGCTTGGCTTCTTAGTTCCCGCAGCCTTTGCTCCTCCCGCCTGGGAAAAGAAGTTCTCGTTTCCGCTCTAAACTAAAACTAGAAAGACATGCACAACATCGTATACAATGCTGGAGCCTGAATGTGCTTGCATGTCTTGCTGTTAAACTTCAACGTTGTGTTAAATTATGGATATATAGTTGCTTTCCCCAGTTTCACGTTCCATCTTGGGTTATGATGTGGACATGTCCAACTCCTAGAGAGTCTTACTGACACGGAGAAGGAAGAGTCACCAACATGATAAATCTGTGTGATTTCACAGGAGAAGAAATCGCAATACTTTTCAGAAACGTGTTGGAAAAAACTCAACCTTGGTGGCGCACCGCTGCGCCCGACTTGCCCACTCAGGACTCTTGGATCAATTCCCAAGTGATGGCTTCTATGGGGTTTGCCAACAAATAGTCGGATTGGTTCATGAGGAGTCCAGTTTCCCGCATTTTCAATCTGTTGCCCTGGCACGTCTTCCAGCCTGAAGTGCCGCCGCCATAGACATCCGTAGACGCCACTAGCGTGTTTGGGACCATGGATGAGGACTTCCCCGAGATTCTCCAAAGCCAAGTCCCTTTTCACCTACAATCCTAGCTCGTGCTCAGAAGGGAATGGGGGGTTTCCATAACCCTCCATATATCTAGCTTGTATAGCTCTACGACTCTACTGGAAATGGACCCATTCACCATTTTATCTAAGTACCAGACGTCCGATCGCCTGTCGCTGACTTCGCTCACAGACCCTCCCGTAGCCCTCGATCGTGGTCGGCCAACCTGAAGGCCAAGCGAGTCATTGTCATCGTGGGAGTCGCCATCGTCATGCACGAGAGCCTGTCACCTTTGAAGCTCCTTGGCATGATGGGTGGAACCCAGAGCCTGTCACATACATCCTGCCAGTCTTTCTGTGAACCACTGGAGATATCCTGCAAAGGTACGTAAAAGAGAGGAGGAAAGAGAGGAGGGTTTGGCAAAGCGTATTGAACTAGACAGGTGCAGGAAAGCTTCTATATCTATCACATTCCCGTTCTGCACAGCTGTTTGTCTCCTTTTCTGGTTAGAGGATTGAGTCTCAGTCCCACCCTGTGTCAGAACATCAACCCCCATCCTGCAGCATGTGGTGATCCGGCCACAGTTCATGAACAAGGTCTTACACCACAAGCGATGCACCCAAGCACAACCCTCTGTGCTGTATGGGCAGCTTGAGACCTTGTATACATAGAGGCTATTTGCAGCATTCCTTCTGTAAAGGGCACTGGTTAGTGTGAAAAGCATATGGCGGGAACGAAAGGTCAGCCACACCAAATTAGTCAGGAAGATAGCCACAGATTTCATCCATGATTCCTGTGCCAAGGTTCCATCGTGTCAGGGCATATGTATGGGGAGCTGACGATAGTTCTTAAGGAAGGGATTGGCGGCTTGGGCATGTCTCGAAAAAGATTAAACCCAACAACTAACTTTAACTAACCTACGTTTATTTCAGCAGGGGCATTCCACTTTGCACCCGAAGTTCAATGTATTATCCCAGCATCCCTTTGCTAGGCTGGCTGGATGTGCTATTGGCATCGGCGGCGTCTTCTTGTGCGTCATCCAGAGGATGTTGGGAAAGAGAAGCCTGAACCACACGGCAACCGTCAACAAACCACGTAAACCGCTGTAGGCACTTAGACTTATATAGGATTCACAGGCACCAGAGAATCTCACTTTGTAGGTGAGATGCATACTCTCAGCAAATGACCTTGTCAAGCATGGTATTAGTACTTTTTTTGGGTCTCCAGATAGCCTTGTTAGATCAGTACCCAGGCCGAAGCCCAAGAAAGTTTCATGGCTGCCACCCCCCACTTCAACTTGTTTCGTTGGATGCTTTCTGGGGTGAGCCCTTTTTCGAGGTTGATCAATTCCGCAAGAAATGGTTGGGTTGCGGTCCATCTCAGGTTGGGAGCTTTCAAGGATTCTGCATGGCACCTTATTGGTCAGTCTGGGGCCTTCATTTCTTGAGTTTGACCCAACTCCTGGAAGACACCCGCTTGTGAGAGATCAGACTTCTTCATGTCTCTAGCTTTCCAGCAACTAGAGGGGTTCATCGCCAAGACACCTTAATTTATTAAGTTGTGCTTTTTCAAGTGAAACCTTCCTTGCTCAGCATCAATCAACTGGGAGTTTTGGGCAGTCAATGAAGCACTCTTAACGCACTGAAACATGCACGCTTTGAATCGCTTTGAGGTACTCTATCATTGATGATCTCCTCAAGAAGTGAGTAGAAAAAGGGGCTTGTCATGCACGTGGCCGTGGAATTGCGGCATGCAATTCGCTGGAGCAAGTTTCTGTGGGGCAACTTGCAGCGATTACAGTATATATTGGAGCACATATCCAACTGATTGAAGCTTTGAGCTCACTGCTTTGGCACCATTAGATTCGAAAAAGGACGCGGTGGCAGTGCCGCGTGTCGCGCAGAAGCAGATGGTGGGGTGGGACGGCTATGGACGACGAATGGTGGGGGACATGGGTCAGAACGAAGCTTCCTGAAGGTTCGATAGAGTTCGATAGAGTGCCAGAAGGTTGACCAATGGAGGACCGTCAAATTGTTCTCGCTAGCAAGTAGATTGGTAGCGCAATGCAGGAGGTCGATGCATGCTTGAAGGGTGGTTGGCTCAAACGATTAGCTTGCTGAGATTTTCTTGCGCACCTCTCCCCGACATCATGGCCCGGAAGCCCAAAGATTCCAGCTCTTCTGATTCGCATATCTTCAACAGCCTTTTTCATGGTTCACATCCTGAGATGCCTCCAATCAAAAGAAGGGTTCAAATCACTTACTTATGTGGAAAACTGCAACGATGTTGTTGGTCGCTTATCGCAAAGGATGAACACCCGCTAGCTATGGGAAGGGTTTCTGGATATTCACATACCAGCTGTAACGTATACTCCCACTTGATTGTACGTGGATGCAATCTACTAGTTCCATCAACCGCACCCGAAGTGCTAGCAACAGACGCCCTGGGAAGCTTTTTTCACATCCCCAATATGCTCGGTTGAAGCGCCGTGACTGCCACTTGCAGAAAGTATAGGTTGTGACTCAGTTAGCATCCACGGCTCGAGAGTTAGACCGTAGAATTGTGCACTGATCTCATCATGTGGCGTTTGACGTTCTCAACGTTCTTGGTCGGCATGGTGATTTCTCAGATGGCAGAGGAGACCTGCAAGGAAGGTGAGGGCTCCGCACTGATGCAATTGAAGCAAGGAGACTTCCCTTGATTGATACGGCACGTTTTCGTGTCACCTACAACATCCTAAAGCAGCCTAGAACCTTTGCCACATGGAACCACATGTCTCGGCCAGCTTTGGAGACGTCTTGCCGGATTCCCCAGGAGAGAAGACGAAGGCGGAGACAGAGCTTCCTTGGTGGGCTTGGGTGAAGGTCTTGGATGATGACAAAAAGCCAGAACCGGCGAAAGTCTTTCCTTGTGAAGATGCAGAGCCACAGTCCCTGCGGAATGTTAGTCGGGACTTCGTTGGTGAGGAGCTTTGTCGGGTGAAGCCCATCACTTGCTGAACGTGAAAGATGCATGAGCAAGCGTTTTTCCCATTTTGGCAGGCTCTACTCAATATATTGTGTTTAGAACCTACAGCTGTGTTCCCCTGTTTGCTTGATTTTTTGTTGTTGTTGTAGCTTCTGCTGATAAGGCTTGGGAGATGAGTTTCCAAACCTTATCCACCTGAACACGCACTTCCACTTGGGCGCAGAACATGTGAACGTGGAAGCTGGCGGCTACTCTCTTGCCGTGGAAGAGGCTATGAGGAAGCCCGAGAATATCATTCCGGATGACATTCGTCCTGGCTATTTCTGCGATCGCGTTGAAGCCGAACCTGCACCACCTGCTACTTTGGATCCATATGAGTTCAAACACTGCAAGAATGTGAAAGTGGGATACACCTATGAGTTCCACTGGGTCTATTCACGTGCCGGGCCCAAGATGGCATCTTGACAGGTGGCTTGGGTGGTGTGCTTGCTCGAGACTTGAACCCATCAGTGCTGGTGCGTGGACAGGCCTGTCGCATTGTGGCCATGTCTTGTGGCCAATAGGGTCTTTGACAGATATTCTAATGGATGGCTGTGCATGAGGCCCCGGGAAGTCCATTGCGCAGTTGTCTATATATGGGTCAGTTCACGATAATCTTTTCTTGAACTCTTTGGAAGCTAGGCTGTGGCCTCCGAAACACCAGACTTGCTTGGTGCTTTGCAATAAGCCTCAACCTAATTATATAGCTTCACTTTAAGGTCGGATAATGCTTATCATGTAGCGCCATGTTGAGAGATGCTCAGAGACTGGCATGCTTCAGGTTCGAGGCCTTAGTGTGGCCGTAATGTAGCTTTCTTGCTGGGCGGGTATGAGCCGAACCTGCCCACAAAGGTCCACCAGTGGTCTATTTTCCCAGATGTTGTTTGAGTGGGTTTAGTTGGTCCCGCGACCTTCCGACAAAGCATTGGCGCAATGTAGCAGGAGCAGTTGAAGGACCTTTGAAAGTAGCCTAAGTGCAGAGGAAGGAAAATGCTTCCCCATACTACTCTGCTGAATGAGGAGTGGCACAAGTTCGACATGTACTGTACAGAAGCAACATTGACCACGTGACAGCCTATGGATGCTTGCAATTCTTACGATGCTTGCATACCAGCCGTGACGTATACTCCCTTGATTGCGCGTGGATACAATCTACTTGTTCCACCTACCGGTGCCAGCAACAGACCCCCTGGCAAGCTGTTGCGCATACCCAAATATGCTCGGTTGAAACACTGTGACTGCCACTTGCAGAAAGTATAACTCGTGACTGAGTTGTGGGTCAAAAATCTGTTCAGCTCAGGTGAAGATGTCCAACCCTCTCGAGATCACCAATCCTCGGGTCTTCTTCCTCACCAAATTTCTGAGCTGATGGATCTTATTTGTGGTCTGCGGGTGGGCTTTGCGAAAGATCAGCCTCAGAAACACTGCTTGGGGACTCACTGAACAAGTGCAAAGCTCTATGCCTGTTTTGGTTGTTTGTTTGCCATCCATCTGAAATCACCCCATAAGCCACACGAAACAACAAGAATCGAAGGCGGACCTGTTTCAGGAGCTGAAACAATCTCTTAAAGCAGGAGGTCTTCCTTGGACAAAATTGCCGCTTTCCAAGTCTATATACCTAGAGATTCCATACATCTGTTGGTGTGCCCCAGCCACCACAAAAATCCACCAATCCTCGCCTGCTTTAGCTCCCAGGGCAAACGTGCAGCACAGTCCGCCGCAGCGCAGCAGGCGGGCTGAGGGTTCCTCACGCATGGTCACTGAGTTTTTTTTCTGGATTAACAGCTTAGCAACACATTCTCAGGGAGATGGATGAGTTGTGCTCAACACCGGGTCGCCATTGGTCACCAGGCCAAGGTCGCCAAGGTGGAAGAGAAGCCGGTGGACCCTTTCGTCCAGGCAAGGTGGTCTGAGCGAGGCGGTGGTGCGAGGTTTTTCCCGCCAATCTGTCTGTGGGTGTAGGTTTGTGGTAGGTCCTGGTAGGTTGAGTTGATAGGCTGTTTGTTGTGTTATGTTTCTGTATATGTGGTCCAACATGATTGGTTGCAAAACTCAATAGAGAGGTAGAAATGGGTAGATGGAACCCGATCAGTCATGTCCCACTTCTGCCATGTCTCAAAACAAAGATGACATGACCGGTCTGGATCAGTCAATGGCCTTGGAAATCCTTACCCCTGTTGGCTCATCCTCTCCCGACCTGTCAGCGATGTTCGGAGCTTGGAGACCTCCTTTTTCGGTCGAAATCGACCGAACTCGCAGGAGTTGACCCCCATGCTGCAGCATTTGGAGAAGGCCACCACGCGAGGAAGAAAGCGCCGAAAGAAACGCGGGTTTCTGCGCACGGCAGGGCCGCAGGGCAGGGCTTTGTTCCAAAAACACACATTCTGCTGGTGGGTACTGATGGACATCCAGCATGGAGTTTTCACGTGTGGCCAACACGGATGTCCCCACAACAGAGTTGTCACGCCGTTTCCTCGTCCACGACCGGCCCGTTGACCGACCGCTGGGGGCGTTCGTCTTGCATCGCACAGGCGGAGTTGACTGAGTCATCCATCGAGATGTTGCGCTCGGTGGCGCCTTTTTGCCTCAAAGCCGCCCAGGAGACCAACCGTAGAAGCCGAGTAGCTACCTTTGGAAGGATGGTGGAGTTGAGTTGGGTCGAATATGGTCAGAGTGAAATTTGTCCTATTGGATTCAATGGGTGTATTCGTCGATTTGTTTCCTTTTTGTTGGGGAATGGTGGGGACGCCTGTGACCCACGCAGCAAGGGACCGCGTTCGATGCGCGATCGATGCGAGGAGGCCCGTCACGCGTTTCAGCAGTCCATGGTGGACTCGATCGAAACGACGCTGAAGGGCATTCAGGCTCGACGCCTCGAGGGGGAGGGAGGGGAGAGCACCACAATGCAAAGAGAGTGAAAGGGTCTTTGCAGGGTAGGAGATACACAGAGTGAAGACCAGCTGGACGATGGATTGCCCCATTTTAAGGTGGGAGAAGGTCTGATCTTGTTACTTCTAGCTTCTTGTTGCTGGTAGTAATGCACTTGTTACTAGTAGCGATGCGCTTGTTACTAGTATGAAGTGTTGTAATTGACCATCAAGAAGACGCACCTATTGATTGTACAATGACTCAACTTGCTTGAGGCTTTAATAGGTTCGATTAGATGCAACTTCGCTGTCATACCATAATAAGGTCCACTCCGCTGTGTTCGACTAATTACAATGGGGAAGACGGTTTCTACAATGAGTTCGCCATGGAGGGAATTCTATTGTGTGTGCGGAGTTCACTGCCAACATAGTAGAAGAATCACACTCAGCTTGTTCAGCATGGACGCAGCGGAGTTGACCACCCACTGCCCTGAAGTCATTCTGTCGCTTTCGGAGCTCCTTTCACTGCGCCATACATGGCAGAATGGCATAGAAAACCCAACAGGTGGGTTGTGGGGTCCATGCTTTGCTCCGGTGTTCACAGCTCACTCATTGCAGGCGAAGCACGAGGGCTCAGTCACGGAGGCTGAGAACAGCTTGGCAGATTTGACGGCTAAGCAGGAGACAACGAAGCAAGGGAAGCGAAATGAGGTGAAAGAGAGACCTTCATTATGCCTCCTTAACTTCAAGGTTTCCTCCGGTGCGACCATGCGTGCGATCATGCGCCAGGAGCAACAGGATTTGCGCTTGAAGGAGGCTACTGAACACGCAGGACACTCAAGAGGGGTGCGGGGGCAGCATGGGGGTGGTTCAACTGGGTTTTCCATTTTACTCTCATCGTCGGTTTTTTGGAGAGTTGCATCCTGCCAAATTGTGGCGAATCTTAGAAACTTAGCAGCCCCTCAACAGCCAAATGGTGTGAACTCATTTGTGAAACCAAGAGGGGCTTCTCCTATGCCACTCCGTCCCACTCCGTGTGGTCAAATATGAGGTGGCCCTTTGGTGATGATTTGATTTGGCCTCATCCTTTTCAAGTATAGACACCGTCGTAGAGTAGACTGAATCGTCTTCTCAGCAAACTGAGGCCGAGCAGTCCCGGACGGAGTTCGAATCGAAGGCCCTGATCCGCCCTGATCCGGAGATCCAAAATGCACAGGGGTGTGCACTGACACACGGGGAACACCCAAAAATATTTGAAGAGGTGATTATCAGGTGATGATCAACATGTGGAGCTTCATGGCTATGTCTTCATAATGGAATGGTGGTCGGACTGGCTCTGCTGGCTCCTCACTGGCAGGCCCAGACGCAAACCGCTTTGGAGGCGGGAAGAGATTTGGCATTCGATCTTGTCTCTTTAAATGCCACACTCGAAGAGCAAGCCCTTCAACGTGAATGCGGACCCCTCACCCCTAAGTTCAGGGTGATTCACCTGCAACCTGGCTAAGTGGGTGTTTCAGGGACCCACTAATAGGTCAATACCTCACATCCCCATTACTGGGAAACAAGAGGCTATTAGGTGGAGGCCATCGCTATTAGGTTGGAGGCCATTACTACTAGTAACAAGAAGCTAGTAGGTTCTTTTCTTAGTTTACTTCGCTTGGTTCGTTTCGGTGCCAGGCCGAGACCACTCAAGCTTCTGAAGCCCTGAAGGGCGCACAGGCCACGTGAACTCGAAGCGGCCGAGGGGTTGCCATGGATCATGCTGACTTCACGCAGGTGTAAACAGCAGTATATGCAAGGGGTGTAGTGCCAACTTGGACATGACTTTGACAAACTGTCTATCACTTTGTTCAATCGGGTCAAGTCTGAAAAGGCAGCACGTGATGTAGCTTCTTGAAAATCGACGCCCTGAGGGGTGTTCTTTAATTCTGTCTACGCAGCGCTTCTCAAGCCCAAGCAGCTGGGTGTTCCAGCACAGGACCGAGAGGAAGAGCTGGCCCGCGAAAAGGCCGCGACCTTGAAGGAGCAGGAGGCCTTCGAGAAGGCCTAACTGGGACTGGGATGGTGCATTTCCGTTATTTGGTGGCGCCAACAGAGATTAGCGCCATGTGACGGACGAACCGCCAAGTTGCTCACACAGACAACTGTTCGGTTGTTTGCATTGCTGGGTGTTGAACGGACAAGGTGTTTTCGTGTTTCGCACAGCAGCTGGCCGTCCTTTCGGTAGAGACCTCAACCGAACGCGGCGCTCGGTGACCAAACCCGACCAGTTCATGGTGACCTTTGAAGCGGTGAAGAATGGCACCTTCGCCGGGAAGGAGCAATGGCCTCAGAGAGACGAGGAGGTGTAGAGCGACGGTGGCAGTCGGCCTTGGCGCTTCGGGCAGGGTTTGGGCACAAGGACCCCAACATTTATGTATCAGGTTTGCACAGTGTTCAGCTTGATATTGAGCAGCTGTGGACGGTTTAGGGAAATGATTCAAGAGAGAGAGGTTATTGAGGGAGTTTGATAGACATGAGTCCGGACGATACTTTTGCGGTGGTATTGCTGGTGGACAAGTTGGGAAGGATGACTTGTCGTTCATTTTCGTTGTTGTTCCAGTTCGTTCCGGATGGCTTTCCACACAGGAAACCGGGCCACGGTTGCCACATCTACATTTTGATGGTCTAGATGTGGCCAGTTCTGTTTCAGATCGTCAAGGTGGTGGTTTGGCCACCATGACCATGACTGCAATATCCACTAAACAGGAATGGATGTGGAATTCACAGAATGCAGTTGACAAACGGGGACGGGAAGGATGTTAGGCAGCATTGAACAATTTTGTTGCTTTGTCACAGGATGACAACTAAAATTTCATTCTGCCAGAAGCCCTAGGTGGCGCGAGCGGAACAAGGCGATCGACGAGACGTTGAAGGCCACTGTTGAGTAAAAGTATGTAGAGAAGTTCTTCTTTTTTTCAGAAGTCGACCTTGAGTGGGGTCTAATCGGACCCCAGCATATCCTATCTGTACGCCTTTACCATAACCCCTACCCGGCCCTACCCCTCTCCGTACGCTTACATCGGATCGGTACACCTCACGTAGGCCCTACCCTACCACTATCCCTACGCGCGTCCCGTGGACCAATTGTCCTTTGAGAAGCCTGCCCCGCACTTCCTGCAACTCAATTTCCACTACAAGGTGAATTCACAGAGTCCGTATACACCAGCGTTTTTGTGAGACTGGACAATTACCGCAAACGGCAGTTTACGGTTACCATTTCGCAGAAATTACAACGAAATCTGAATGCGCGACTGGCCGCGACACCCGCTTTTTGTGAGACTGTTGATGAACACGAAAGTTAGAGAGCACGATGACACCGTAACTACCACGAAAACAAGCCTGTGACGACGCACTACCTCGATCTAGAAGACATCGCCTTGCTGTTCCTGTATGAGCTTCAAGTGTGAACGCACTGTTTGGGGAAAAGGAGGTGGAAAACATGATTGTGTAAACAAAATCACTCAAAAACGGTATTGACGACCCCTTGAGCCACTTGAGCCAATGTGTGTTTGCTGACATGTATGTGGGTGTGTTGCTCTATTACATATACAACGCAAGCAAATGAGCAAGTTAAGAGAATCAGAAGTCGTAAGAACTTTCAATAACACGGAGATTCAAAGTGTCTACTCAATTCTTTTGGCTCGGAAACATAGAAAACGATAAGCGCAAGCATCAGACACTGTGAGCCAAGATCTCATCAGATTACCTTTTGAAATGAATCGGGTCTACATTGCATATTTGGCATCAAGAAAGAGCTTCTCCCTTCGCCATTGGACGTCTGGACACAACATATCAAGCACATGGAAGAAG